CTCTCTCTCTCTCTCTCTCTCTCTCTCTCTCTCTCTCTCTCTCTCTCACATTTCACTGAGACAGGAGGATCACAAGTTCAAGGCCAGCCCTGGCAACTTAGCAAGACCCTGACTCGAAATAAAAAGGGCTGGAGATGTATCTCAGAGGTAGAGCACCCCTAGGTTCAAGCTTTACCACCATACACACACACACACACACACACACACACACACTCTCTCTCTCTCTCTCTCTCTAAGTAAATAAACCAGTATTTTTTTAATCACATTAATTAGGGAAAATAGATACTATGATTTTGAAATTTCCTCCAAGCATAGAATACTTTTCCTTTCTTCAAGTACTGTATGATGGTGATAATGGAGGGCATCGTGTCACATTACTTATCTTAGTATATTTTTAAAAAGGTTTAACAACTATAGATTACGCCATTAATTGCACTGAATAACAATAATATTGTAAGAAGTTATGGACCTGTGTTTCTACCAGAAGGATTATTCTTAGGTTCTGGATGTATCTAGGATTTACTGACTGAATCAGGCTGTTCCAAGAAAGTGAATGCTTAATCCAGAAATAGTCTGGTGTTAGGGATGGTTAGTTAGAGAGTTTCCCATTCATTTATTTGGAGGTGGGGGCGACTAGGGATTGAACCCAGGAGCTCTCTACCACAAAGCTACAAACCCCAGCACTTTTTATTTTAATTTTTGACTAGGGTCTCAGTAAGTAGTCCAAACTAACCTCAAACTTGCCATTATCCTGCCTCAGCCTCCTGAGTCACTGGGATTACAGACATGATCCACATGTGGAGGCGAGTTTCTAGTTTAAAATGACTGCTTTGCATCTTTTCTCTCTTTCCTACTTCTTCCCTCTCTGTGTTCTCTTTTCTTTCCCCTCCCTCCCTCCCTCTCTCCTTCTCTCTCTCCCCCTCTCTCCATTTCCCTCTCCCCGCCCCCCAAAAAGAAAACACAATAATGAAATAAAATAACTATTCCGGTGGCTGGTGATGTAGCTCAGTTGTAGGCCACTTGCCTGGCACACAGGAGGCCCTGGGTTTAATTCCTAGCACTGCCTCACCCCCCCCCCCAAAAAAAAAAAAAAAGTTGAAATTATAACATTGGGCATTTAGAGAATTTAAAAGTCCCCCTAGTAGAATGTTGCTCCATTTTGGAAGCTTAAGAACAGTGCTAATACCACCCCAGTTTTCCTTATCAGCCTCTAATTGTTCTTCAAACTGAATTAGACTTTTCTGGCCTACATTTTGGGTACTGGATATATATGAAGCCTATTATAATAGAAATAGAGTAAACTTATTTTCTTCCCAGTTAAACTTATGAAAAATGCCTATATTTTTGATTGAGATGTTGATTATGTGGGTATATGCATTTGTTAGAACTCATCTACCTTTTCACATAAAATGAGTATAGTTTTATTGCACATAACTTATACCCCAATAATATGAAAATCCTGTGAAATTGAAGATTTAGTACTCCTTTTTTAAAAAATTTCTTCATGTTCTTCTGTGTTTTAAATCTTTTAATTGATTAATTTATTTGTTCCAATTTGTTATGACTTTCTCCTTAACATTATTTCATAAAGTATAGTAACTAAAAGCTACTTTCAGCTATGTCTCTATTAAAATAACCACTTAACTTGGTTTTCTACAACCTCTTAAGCTTTAATCCTCTTAAATCTGTATGATTGTGATTTTAATAGTACCTTCAGAGAATTATAAGGATTAAGTTTTTAAAATACATATAAAAATACCTAGCATAATACCTGGCACATAGTAGATCCTCAATATATAGTAACTATAAATTATTATTAATATAACAATTACTACTATTTGCATTAGTCATTTCTCCTTTGATTTCTCTCTCTCTCTCTCTCTCTGTCTCTCTCTCTTCTCTCTTTTTTTATTTATTTTTTTTTTAATAGAAAACCCATATAGACAGCTACCCTGTAACTGTCATGGAAGCATGCCTGGAAAGACAGCAATAGAACTTGGACCTCTGTGGTATGTGCCTGCCTAAGCATCACATATTCAGAATTGCTTTATGTATTGATTTGCTGATTGTCAACTTTTGATTATGTGGTAAAGGGCAAGCAAATTCAAATTTAATTTTTATTATTTTTTTAATTTTTTAGTTGTTGATGGACTTTTTTTTTTTTTTTTTTTTAATTGCTAATAATCGAACCCAGTGCCTCATACATGCTAAGCAAGCACTCTGCCGCTGAACCACAAACCCAGCCCTAGATTGAATTTTTAAGTCTAGGCAAATAATTATGACTTCTCTCCCCTATGAACCCCTATGAACTTAAGGTTCATTTGTTTCCATTGTTCTCCTTAGTTTGTGACAACACTAAGGAGGAGAAGCTTAGATTATCTACAAACTAGACAATTCATTCTGAATAGTAAGAAGGAAGCTTTTTAAAACTAATCATTAAAAATCTAGGTTGTGATTGTAAAATGATCACAATGACTTTTTACAGAAAAATCAACTAATACAAAAGGTCTTAAAGGAATTAGTTTTTAGTGAGAAAACTATAAAATGTCTGCCTTTGTCTTAGGTCAAGCTGTTTGGATAGGATAAAGCTTCAGATATTTAATGTATTGTGGTTTTTTTTTATCATTGATAACAAGTTACTGTGTTTTTAAAGCCTTAAATTGTGTTTAATTAGAATCTGTATCATAAGTTTTTTTGTTACTAGAGATTTTTATAGAAATAGGAAACTGCTAACAACATTGTGACATGAACTATTACATATTTCTTCTTTGCTATTTTTACAAGATCAAGGCTTAGCCATCTACTAAACCTAAAAAATTGGCACAAATGGTAAATATGTTTGTGATGATACCTTCCAGCACTCACTCACCTCTATCATGTGCAATTGAGTGATCCTACTCACGGATCTCAGAACTGCAGAAATTAAGAATAACGGATGGCTGGGTTCAGAAGGAAGATGTTCTAGCCCAGATCCCTCATTTTACAGATGAGGAAATTATAACACAACGTTTTTTAATGCTGCTAAAACTTATCCTAAAAAATAGTTATTTGCACAATCAGGATCAGAAATTTAGGTGTTTTGTCTCTTAAGACTGAGTTCTAACACATGCCTTATGATTTCCTCACTCAAAACTATTGATCTGCTTTACTCTCATCCAGAATACGTCCCTTCTCTCTCCCACCCCCTGTTCAAATTGTACTTCCCTTTTGAAGTCTCTCCTTAGTGCTTCAACCCAAAATAATCTCTAAATTCCTTTTTGCCTAGCTTATGTTGATCATTCATTTGACACTTTAAAATCATATATAGTAATAATGGCTACATTGATTGAGGATATACTTTATACTAGGCATTGTACATATGCCACCTGACTTAATTCCCATAACAAGTTTGTGAGAACATTTATTTTCCATTGCATGATAAAGAATACAAAACTCAAAAGCAGTATTACATAGCTAGTAACTGCTGAAGCTGGGCTTGGTAACCAGGTTTATCTAACTTAGAATTTCATATTTTGTCAGTTATATCCGTGATTCTCAATGTGAAGCATACCACATTAACTCCTGGGCCATTTTTAAACCACATCACCACTACCACATATAATTTTTATATTTCTTCCCACCTATTACCATATATAAACAAAATTTAAGATTTACTGATGAGAATGTGCATTGTAAATACCTCTGCAATATATTGTTTCTGTCCAAATTTTGTCTACATTTGTAGGCTTTTATAGGGTCAGCATTGTATTCTGGTATATTCTCTACACATACCCAAGTATCATAGTACTGTACAACTAATGAAAACTGTAAATTCTTATTGGTTTAATGTGAATGCAGTTTTCTTGGCTAATCCTACTAGTTTAGAGAACTGATTTAATAATAGCATTGGAAAAATAGAAAATAAAGAATATTAAAGATCAAAAATTCTTTTTGAATTCCTATTTTTTATATATTATAGACTTTTTTTTTTTTTTTTGAGACTTATTTTTTGAAAGAAAGTAAATATTTCTTAAACCCAGTGCTCTATATATTCATTTCTTTTTCAGGTCAAGTTCCCTTTTCAATACTGGATTCCTCAAAAGGATGTTGTTTGAATCTCTTCACCATGGTTTGGATGAAATTCAGACTCTAATAAAGACCTTAATCTTTGAATCAGAATGTACTCCTCAAAGTCAATTTTCAGTTCATGCATCTTCAAATCCTAACAAGCAAGGTGAATAATTGAACACTAAAGATAATTTGTTACCATTTCATTTGGTTTTTTTTTTTTTTTTTTTTTTTGAGGAGGGGTGGGCTGGGGATATAGTTCAGTTGGTAGATGTAGCTGGGTTCAATCCCCAGCACCACAGAATGTTTGTTTGGGGGCGGGGGTTGTTTGTTTTTGTGTGTATGTATATGTGTGTGTGGTTTTTTGTTTGTTTATTGTGCTGAGGAGCAAACCTAGGACCCCGCACATAACCAGGCAGGTGCTTTACCACTGAACCAATATCCCTAGCTCCCATTTTCCTTAAAATACATAGTTTTCTTCACATTTATTCTTAGGGTCATGAAATGAATGTGATTTCATTAAAATAATCTCCCTTTTGTTTTTAATTTTATTTGATTAAAATAAATAAGAAAACTTAGATATAAATTTTATTACCCTGTATGTACTTTCTAGAAAGAACCCTTAGGTCATTCTAGGAATGGTATGGCCACAAATGTTAGTACTGTCCATTGAGACATAGAAGGTACTTATCACTCAGTAAAGTTACTTTTTTTCTTCTCAATATAAATAGACTTCTGTAGTCATAGCTGGCTGTTGATATTAGAGTGGGTCTACTAAATATACTACCTTATAAGCCGTGAAAAGAGGTTGCTATTATAGAACATTAAAATATGTCATTCTTAACAACCTGTTATGGCCACAGAGTCTCCTATATAATCACTATATAAATCCTATATAAAACCCACTGTAGATGATCAAGTATGGTGGTGCACACCTGTAATCCCAGCAACTCTGGAGACTTAAGATAGGAAGATCACAAGTTCGAGACCAGCCTTAGCAACTTAGCAAGACCCTAAGCAACCTAGTGAAATCCTGATTCAAAAAATAAAACAGGCTGGGAGTGTAACTCAGTGGTAAAGCACCCCTGCTTTCAATCTCCAATACCAAAAAAATATAGAAGGGCTACAGTGCAGCTCAGTGGTACAGTATTTTCCTAGCATACACAAATTCTTAGTTTGAATCCCTAGTAACACACACACACACACACACACACATCCCAAAGATGGAATTTGGTATAAATTTTTATTTAAACTTTGAATTGTTGTTTAATGTCATCTGGAAAATACTGTTTTCTCACTTTTTTTTAGAAGAAAATGGTGTATTTATTAAAACTACAGATGATGTCACAACAGATTACATTACACAAGGTATGTATGTAAGTACACATATATGTATCCATGCAGAAAGGAATATAGCAGAGGTGGAAAGAGAGATTGCATTGGTGGCTGAGTGCAGTGTCATATACCTGTCCCAGCAACTCTGGAGGTTGAGGCAGGAGGACAGGAGGATTGCAGTATGAGGCCAGGCTAGGCAATTTAGCAAGACCTTGTCTCAAAATAAAAAAGGGCTGGGGATGTAGCTCAATAAGGACATAGAGCACCCCTGGGTTCATTTCCTAGTACTGGGAAAAAAGTTTCTTTTACCATATAATGCCAACAACAAAACTATAGTAAAACTTATTTTAATCAGCATTAATACAGTTCCAAATTTCAAAAGGTATTTTGTTCACATCTTTAATAATGTGGTGATCCCTTCAGGAAAACTAGAGAATTAAGTTATAGATGATAAAGTTATAGCATTCGGATTAAACTTTATTCTAATACTTTAAAAATTGCTCATGAATATTTGATTTATGGCAATTCCATTTGATTAACCAGAAGACCTTACTTTCTAGCCATAAGCATTTATTATATGGCCTTTCTCTTATTTTGGGATGTGTGTATACTTTAAAATACAGTTGTATAGGGTCTCATTATACAACTCTAAGGTGCTTAGGGTCCTAAGTAAGTTACATGAGTAACAAACAATTAAAATACCTAGAAGGGCTGGGTATATAGCTCAGTTGGTAGAGTGCTTGCCTCATGTGTACAAGGCCCTGGGTTCAAATCCCCAGCACCAAAAAATATATGTATATATAAAATACCTGTGGGGGTGGGGATGTGGCTCAAAGCTGTAGCACTCTCGCCTGGCACTCACAGGGCACTAGGTTCGATCCTCAGCACCACATAAAAATAAAGATATTGTGTCCCCCTAAAACTAAAAAATAAATATGAAAAAAAAATTTTTTTAATAAAATAAAATATCTAGAATAAATAATCTTTTTAAGAGAATGCTAACTGTGTGTGTTTCAGGAAAGAGAAGAAGTAATGAGATAATTACAAATTTAGCCAAGAAGCAGAAGACTGATGTCAGTACTGAACATCCTCCCTTTTATTATAACATCCACAGACACAGCATTAAAGGAATGAACATGCCCAAGTAAGACAGCCAGTGAATGGCAAAGTGTGTATATCATATTTTAATAACATTGTGATCTAAATAAAAATACAAAAACCTAATTATCTTTTTTCTTTTCCTTATTGCAGGTTGAAAAAGTTTTTGTGCTATCTTTCTCAAGCAGGCTTTCGAGTCAGCCGAACTCACTTTGACCCAATGGGTGTTCGTACAGATGCACCTCTGATGCAGTTTAAATCTATTCTTTTAAAATATAGCACCCCCACTTACACTGGAGGACAGTCAGAAGGCAATGTCCAATCAGCATCTGAAGATACAGTAGCTGATAGGGTTGAAATGTCAGTGAATGACAAAGCAGAAGCAAGTGGCTGTAGAAGATGGTAACTGTAGAGTTTATTCTCAGGTGTCTGTATAAATGATCTAACATTTCTCTATACCAACTGTAGTTCTTTTCTATTCTTCCAATTCAGTGGTGTAAAAATAAAAAACAGTGCCGCTTTCATTCAGAAAATTAGCAGTTTCTAACTTAGCTGGTTTTGGGAGCCTTGCTTTTCAAGTTTTTCTTATTTTAAAGAAAATTTAAAATTATATTAATGGAAACATTTTATATAAAGCCAAGTTTCTGACTGAGGATCACCCTACTGTTTAATAGGTTTACATACCTAGTATTGGGAATTTATGTACATTGTAGAAGCTGTCCTTTACTTTTTTTTTTTCCCCAGTGCTGAGGCTCAAACCCAGGGCCCCAAACAAACACTCTACTACTGAGAAACACCACAGCTCCTTCCCCCACTCCACCCCCGCAAGAGAAAGGGTCTTGCTGTGTTGCCCAGGCTGGATGTGGACCCCTGGGCTCAAGTGATCCTCCTGCCTCAGTCTCCTGAGTAGCTGGGACTACCACCATGCCTGGCTTATCCTTTACCATTCACATCTCTGCTTAAACTGATTATCATGTTTATATTTTTCCACATATCGTATACAAAATGAAGCTGAAACCTTTTATATACTAAGACAATCCTAAATAAAATAGGAGGTTCTCATATATTTCATGAATATAAAACTAAAATATTTTCCGATTTTTAAGAAATCATACTTCTGTACACAGTCATCTTTTAAATTACTAGCTTTGGAGAAATTAAATACTTGCCTGAGAAAGAAATACATTTTCTTACAAGATATAATCTATATGACTCAACTTCAGAGAAAGATTTTTGTTAAAATAAATTGAGACCATTCTAACATATAAGTACCTAAATCCTAATGAGGAGAGATTTTGTTATAAATTAAACAAGTTGGGTGATCTCAAGTACCTCAGTTAATGCATGTATACTATTCATTCACTTAGTTGTACTACCATTCAGAAATAAAACTCTTTTTTAGTTTTGGTGTTGGTTTTTTCAAGGGCATGTTTATGTGTACATTTTTCATAGAAGTAGCCCAGATTAACATAACTATAAACATTAGTTGGAAAAAAATTTTTGTTTCCATCAGTATTCTTGCTTAATTTGAATATGAGATTTTAGATGAGCCTGGTGCAGATGCACATGCCTATAAATCCCAGCAATTTATGATGCTACAGCAGGAGGATCACAAGTTCAAGGCCAAACTCAGCAACTTAATGAAAACCTGTATCAAGGTAAAAACAAAATAATAAAAGTAAAAAGGGCTGGGGATATATAGTTCAGTGGTAAAGCACCTCTGAATTTAGATGAAGAAAGAATTTGCTATACAAAGTTTTTGTTTTAAGGATTTAATTAATATTTACCTGTAAGTATTTCTCAAGGGAAAGAACTGTTTGCAATCATTAAAATGAAGGTATTGGAGCAGTTACAACGGAAAGATTTAAAAATACTACATTAAAAAAAAAAAACTCTCCCATGCCATACAGAAAATCAGTTATGGTTGGGGCAGAGTCATCAGTGAAATAAAGGAAAATCTCTTTGTATATTTCCAAGAGAATGTCTTTTTTCCTTTTCTCCAATTAATGTAATCATATTTCAGTAAAATTTTAAAAATAGGTGAAATATGACAGTTTTTACAGTGACTATAAAAAAAACACTTCACACCTTTTGCCACTTAAAATTGTAACTTACAGGGCTGGGGTTGTGGCTCAGAAGTAGAGCGCTCACCTAGCATACATACATAGCCACTGGGTTCCATCCTCAGCACCACATAAAAATAAATAAATGTATTGTGTCCACCTACAACTAAAAAATGTTAAAAAAATATAACTTCCAAATGAACACAAAAATAAGTGTTATTGTTTCCTTCTTTTTTGTTTAATTAGAAGTAAAATTATTGTGCAGTGGCTTATACCTGTAATCCCAGCAGCTTAGGAGGCTGAGGCAGGAGGATGACAAATTTGAGGCCCTTGGCTATTTAGCAAGACCCTGTCTCAAAAAAGGCTGGGAATGTAGCCCAGTAAGTGGTAAAAGTTTCCCTAGGTTCAATCCCCATTACCAGAAAAAGAACAAAAAGAAAAAGGAAGCAAACCAGCATTTTTAATTATCTGATTTAGTACATGTTATATTGAATATCTCAGATTTTGCTAAATGTGTCTCAGAATGACATACTGAGTTGGGTTGATGCTGAGTTGGGTTTTATGCAAGAAGCTTTATCTGATATAGAAATATGGAACTTAGTATTATCTAAAATACACATATAGTGTATTAGCTTCACATAATAAATGCACATTTTCCCCCAGTAAAAATGTTTAATAGAAAGTAGTTTGAAACTGATAAGGTACTACATCAACCTGAAAAGGAAATACTTAAAAATTCCACCAAGTTCTAACATTAGCAACCTTGTTCCCTTAACAACAGTAGTAATTTGAGACACTTCCAATGTTGACAGCATTGTAAAGTGACATCAATTGTATCCCATCATTAAAATTTAAGAAAAGAGGGCTGGGTTGTAGTTCAGTGATAGAGTATTTGCCCAGAACTTATGAATCCCTGGTGGGTTCAATCCACAGCACTGGGGGAAAAAAAAAAAAAAACTTGTTTTAGGAAACTAGTGTGTGTTAACTGTTAGTTGCTTATCTTAGTACTCAGGAAATGGAAAAAGTAACCAAAGGATGGTTTGGGATTTATTGTGGTGAACTTGTCAAAGCTCCTTTTACCATGCTGACTTCCAATAGGCTCTACTCTGAATAGATGTATGGTGTTCTGGTGCACAGAAATTAGAATTAACTCAAGAAGTAATCCCACAAGGTCTAAGAATTTCTGCATTGCATAATTACTCTAGTAAAGGGCCACAGGGTTACTTTGGAGAAGGTTAAGAGATAAATACATATTACATACTTGTGATATTATTCAGGGTCCTTTCAGGGATCCAGGAATGTGAAACAAATCAGACCTGAATATTGGATGAGTACTAGAGTGGCTCACATCAGACCTGTGGTTTTTAATTACATAAATAGGACCATGGAGTCTATTTTGATTCTGTACATCAATTGATCGATTATCCTAGGCCAAACTTTGTGTTAGACTCTACTGATTGTCCTGTGAGTCCTGCTGCCTATTATAGTAACTTTCCCACTTTTCTAGTCTAGCAGTTAAGTGAACTATGGTCATGTGCCACATAATGATGTTTCAGTCAACAATGGACTGTATGCAGTGATGGTTCTATAATGTAATGGAGCTGAAAAATTCCTCTTGCCTAGTAATATCATAGCTAGTGTAACATAGCACAGCACATACATGTTTGTGGTGATGCTCATGTAAACAAACCTGCGCTGCCAGTCATATAAAAATAGAGCACATATAATTGTGTAAAGTATAATACTTGATATAATGATCATCAAAGACTGTGTTACTGCTTTATGTATTTACTGTACTCTGAATCATTGTTTTAGAGTATACTTCTTATTTAAAAAAAAAAAATTCACTGTAAAACAGTATGCCATGTTATGCCAGCAGCAGCTTTGTAGACCTTGTGTTTACTGTGCTTGATTGCAACAAGAAGCTGCATCAAATTATCAACTTAGTATATACTATCTCAGTTTGTGTAAGTACATTCTCTGATGTTTGCACCACCTAGAAATCACCTAACACACTTCCCAGAATGCATCTTCATTGCCAAGCAATGAATGACTATAATTTGTTTCAAGACACATTAATCTTGGCAAAGCACATTGACTCAGGGAGTCCATTTTAACTGAAGCATCTCCCACTGCCCTAGCTTACAGACATACTCTAAATCTTTTCTAGAATGCAGGTGCTTTGTTCACCAGTGCTTTTTCTTAATGCCTTTGTAAAGAGTTATCCATCAATTGGCTAGTCTAAGCATGGTGCCAGCATCTCAGCATCTGGTGAGACCCTTACTTATGCATCAATTGGCTAGACTTCTGATAAGGGAAAAATAGCTAAAGGATCACATATATTAAATCTTCTCCACATAGTGTGTCTTTCATTTCCTTCATTGTATCGATGAATTTCTAGCATTTCACTTCCAATTTAGATGAGCCATTGCTGAATCAAATGTCCTTCAATCAAGGGATCAGAACCACTCCAATTTGTTCAAGTTCACAAACTAAGCCAGAATCTCTACTATAGGTGTACTTGTCTTAGTATGTTTTCTGGTGCTCTAACAGTACTACAGGTGGGTAATTTTTAAAGAATGGAGATATATTCAACTTGTGATTCTGGAGGCTGGCTAGTCTAAGAGCATGGTGCCAGCATCTTGGCATCTGGTGAGAGCTTGCTTCTGCATCAAAATGTGGCAGAAGGCAGCATGATGAGGGACAGCAAGTGTGCCAGAGAGCTCACTTACATAACAAAGCCATTCCCTCAATAACTCAATAATTCAATCCATGAGTGAGTCCATCCCTGCTGGCAGAGCTCCCATGATCTAGTCACCTCCAAAAGTTCTCCCCTCCAAATACCATTGGCAGAACTCTGGGGAGTTCTCAACAGGAATTTTGGGGAAAAACATTCAAGCCACAGCAGTACCCTAATATTGATAATTTGGTGCAATTTAAAATCATGTTCTTGCCTTAAAGTAAGGCCTTATATACTCAAAATCTATTTCCACAGTTATTCTACATATCATCAATATGATCAAGGGGACTGGGAATATAGCTCAGTTGGTAGAGGGCTTCCCTTGCATGCACAAGGCCCTGGGCTCAATCCCCAGCAACACACACACACACACACAAAAGTTTTCAGATCAGATTCAAGCTGTGTTGTGTCTTTGTGTGTGTGTGTGGTGCTGGGGATTGAACCCAGGGTTTTGTGCATGTGAGGCAAGTACTCTACCAACTGAGCTATTTCTCCAGCATCTTTGTTGTGTCTTTGAGACAATAAGGGATTGTACATATAGGGCATGTGGGCTTTTCTCCAAGGCAACTCCTTTAAGTGAGGTTACTAAGGGGTTATCACCAAGATAACAAGGAATTAGGGATTTAGAGGATACTCATCTAAGTCTTTCCACAATTGATTGCAGTTCTCAGAATACTACTTTCTTGACCAGTGTCTACTCTCACAAAACCCACCAAGATAGCAGTTCAGCCAGTGTGGAGGATCAAACTGTTTTCCAGCCATCTCAGCCTTAAAGGTACAAGGGGATGGATAAAGTAAACATCTCACAATATTAGTCTCAATAGTAAGAATCTGGCTTTCCATCATTAGGAAAGGGAATTTGCCATGCCCAGGAAAATGTTGCAAAATCTGAACATCTAAAACAATAGTGTCAGTATTTGTCTACAATGACTCATCATCCCTGGACTCTAACCCCCCGCAAATTTTTTTGTAGTTGGTTATGGACAGAATGCCTTTATTTGTTTATGTGGTGCTGAGGATGGAACCCAGTGCTTCACACATGCTAGGCAAGTGCTCTGCCACTGAGCTACAGTCCCAGCCCTGATCCCCTCCTTTGCTGCCAACTTTTACCACTCTGCAAGAACCAACCCCTCTTCCAGCTCAAGGATCCTTTTCTAGCTCTCTGGAGGAGATTATCAATAAAGACTATTAAATTTAAAATATGAATAAATTGTAAGTATGTGTTATCCAAAATGTATTAACTTCTTAAACCTAATTTATATAATTAAGGTGTATTAAGAAGAACAAATGAGATGACCCCAGTGATAAAACTGTAAAAAACACCTTCTAGGAAGTGAAGTGTTAATTGTAATAGCTTGTATTTATGTGAGACAGCACTAACCATGTGTGTTGGCAATGTTTATATGATCTATAGCAGTAGTTATCATCCACATTTCATAGAAAGAGATTTAACCAGTGTCATTCAAACTGGCAAGAGCAAGAGCAAAGATTCAACCCCAGGCAGACATCAGAGCTCATGCTTTTAGCCACTTGGTAATCTCCATTTATTAAAGAAAATAAGGACATGTGAAGTTTACGAAGTTAAAAAGGAAGTCCGATAGAAACTTCTGGAACAGAATTATTATAAAAGATAACTGTACACTTTTCATTTCTGAAATCTTAATCAGTATACTTTTTACTCAATATTTGTATGCAGAAAGCACTAACTCAGCTTCATTCTCACTTTCTATGGCCCCAGTTTTCCCAGGGCTTAGTTTGTGCATCTTAAGTGTGCCCAAATCTGAAAGATTTTGCTACATACCTTCAAAGATAAAGCATTCATGTCTCAGAGGTAGGAAGAAACAGACATCAGCCCTTCATCTTCTAAGAACTAAGATAACTTTGCTAAGGTTAGGCCTTATCCAGGTACAAAAAGGAGAGCCACTGTTTTATTTTCATCTTTTTTGTTGCTGTTGTTTTACTAAAGCAATACACATTTTTTTTACATCAAATTAATTTTTAGGAGTGGAAATAGGAGGCCAAGGACGACTCACTTCCTATTTCTAAATAACATATCCATAATCCTCTTATTTTCTTTTATTTTTAGAATTATATATGACAGTAGGAATATATGTTGACACATCATACAATACATAATCAGAGTATGACTTCCCTTTCTTCTGGTTGTACATGATGTGGAGTTACACTGGTTGTGTATTGGTATATGAACATTGGAAGTTACGTTCAATTAATTCTGTCTTTCCATTCCCCCACCCAATCCAATGAAACTCCACTCCTCCCTCCCCTCTGCCTATTGTGAGTCAGCATCTAAATATCACAGAGAACATTCAGTCTTTGGTTTTGGGGATTGGCTTATTTCACTTAGCATGATAGTCTCCAGTTCCATCCATTTACCAGAAAATGCCATAATTTCATTCTTTATGGATGAGTAATATTCCATTACATATATATACACCACATGTTCTTTATCCATTCATCTGTTGAAGGGTACCTATGTTGGTTCCATAGCTTAGCTATTGTGAATTGAGCTGCCATAAACATTGATGTGGCCACCATCACTATAGTAAGTCCTCTGGGTATATGCTGAGGAGTGGGATAACTGGGTCAAATGGTGGTTCCATTCTAAAAGTTTTCTGAGGAATCTCCTTACTGCTTTCCAGAGTGGTTGCACCAATTTGTAGTACCACCAGTAATGTATGAGTATACCTTTTCCCCCACATCCTTGCCAACATTTAGTGTTACTTATATTCTTGATAAGTGTCATTCTGATTGGAATGAGATGAAATCCCAGTGTACTTTTAATTTTTTTAAAACATTTATTCTCCAGTTGTAGGTGGACACAATACCTTTATTTTATTTTTATGTGGTGCTGAGGATCAAACCCAGTGCCTCACACATGCTAGGCAAGCGCTCTACAACTGAGCCACAACCCCAGCCCCAGTGTACTTTTAATTTGCATTTCTCTAATTGTCAGTGATGTTGAACACTTTTTCACATATTTGTAGCGGATTGTATTTCTTCCATGAAGTGTCCAGTTCCTTTGCCCATTTATTGATTGGGTTATTTGGTGTTTTTTTAATTTTTGTTGTTTGTTTGTTTTGGTGTTTTTTGAGTTGTTTGTATATCCTAGATATTAATGCTCTGAGGTTGAAGCAGCAAAGATTTTCTTCCTTTCTCTTAGGCTCTCTCTTCACATTCTTGAATGTTTCCTTTGCTGTGAAGAAGCTTTTTAGTTTTATACCATCCCATTTCTTAATTCTTGATTTTACTTCTTGCACTTTAGGAGTCACGTTGAGGAATTCAGTTCCTAAACTGATATGATAGAGAGTTGAGCCTACTTTTTCTTCTAGTAGGCACAGGGTCTGTGTTCTGATGTTTAAGTCCTTGATCCATTTTGAGTTGAACTTTGTGCAGGGTGAGAAATAGGAGATTAATTTCATTTTTTAAAGAATTTAAAAAATTTTTTTTAGTTGTTGATAAACTTTATTTATATGTGGTCCTGAGAATTGAATCAAGTGCCTCACACATGCTAGGCAAACACTTTACCACTGAGGTGTAGGTGAAAAATTTTCTCAGGCTCTGTCTTCACATTCTTTTTTGAGGGGTGGGTATTGGGGACTGAACTCAGGGGCACTTGACCATTGAGCCACGTCTCAGCCCTATTTTGGATTTTATTTAGAGACAGGGTCTCACTGAAGCACCTCCCAGTTGCTGAGGCTGGCTTTGAATTCATGATCCTCCTGCCTGGGCCTCCTGAGCCACTGGAATTATAGGCCTGTGCCACCGAGCCCAGTTCTCTTCACATTTTTGATTGTTTCCTTTCTGTGAGGAAACTTTTTAGTTTGATACCATCCCGTTTATTATGGGGGGCTGGGGAATGCTAGGGATTGAACCCAGGGGCACTCAGCCATTAAGCCACATCCCCAGCCCTTTTTTGTATTTTATTGAGAGTTTCATTGATTTGCTTAGTGCCTTGCTTTTGCTGAGGCTGGCTTTGAACTCGGGATCCTCCTGCCTCAGCCTTCTGTGCCACTGGGTATGTGCACCACTACACCCAGCTCTAATCTCATTTTGATACATATGGATTTCCAGTTTTCCCAGCACCGTTTTTTTAAGAGGCTATCTTTTCTCCAGTGTATGTTTTTGGCATCTTTGTCTAGTATGAGATAACTATTTAGGTGAGTTTGTCTCTTCTATTCTGTCCCTTTGGTCTTCATATCTGTTTTAGTGCCAACACCATGCTGTTTTTGTTACTATAGCTCTGTAGTATAATTTAGGGTCTAGTGTTGTAATGCCTCCTGCTTCACTTTTCATGCTGAGGATTGCTTTGGCTATTCTGGAACTCTTATTTTCCAAATGAATTTCATGACTATTCCAATGAAGAACATCATCAGTCCTCCTTATTTTCAAGCTTAGGCATCATCTATTGAATTTTAACTATGAAAGATAAAAGGGATTACTCTGATTTTATATATATTCTATTTTCCTACACGAGATTCCCATGCTTGCTGTACATGTTTTGTTTTTGGCTTTTTACTTTTTGTTTTGTAGATGGACACACTCTCTTTGTTTATTTTTATGTGGTGCTGAGGACCAAACCCAGTGCCTCACACATGGGAGGCAAGCACTGTACCACTCAACTACAGCCCCAGTTCTTATTCTTCATGGAAGGCATTGTCTGAGTCCTTTCAGTCTGGAAACCCAGGTCCTTCACTTGAGTCACTTTCTTGTGTTGCTTAATAATTTTCTCTCATGCATTCCTTCTTTCTTCCTAAAACTTTTTATACTTAGATTTCAGAACTTTTAGACTTGTAAATTTTTCTTTTTCTAATTTCTATGTCTTTTTACAAATTTTCAGAGATATATTTCACTTTATTGGTTTTAAATATTTCCTGTATGATTCTTTCTTTTATTCTCACTTCCTTTAAAAGAGGGTCCTGCTTTTAATTTGAATGTAAGAGTTGCTCTGAGATTTTAGTTTTTAAATTTTTCCATTACTACGTCTTGCATGTCTTAAAGACACCAAGAGATTCCATGTTTGGTAAGGGCTGGCTCCTTGATTCACAGATAGCCATCTTCTCCCTGAGACCTCACAAGGTGGAAGGGGCAAAACAGCTCTCTGAAGTCTCTTTCATAAAGGTCCTAATCCCATTGACAGGGGCTCTACAATGTCAAAATGACAAATACAATTAACTTGTGGGATGTTTCAACATAGGAATTTGGGTTGGCCATCTTTTTTGTTTGTTTTGTTTTGTTTTCGTTTTAGAGAGATCTGAAGTGATTTTACTTTTTATTTCCTTCACTTTAAGCCAATTATGAAATTTCACAGTGATTTCTGGGGTAGGGGTAGAAGAAAGGTGGTGTTCAGAATCGGGGCTGTGGCCCAGGTGGCCTGAGGAGGTGCGGGCAGGGCAACCCTCACTGGGGCAGCTGGAAGAGCACGGACTGCCCCGCTGGCAGGTGAGTGATGTTCGAGAGCGTGAGAGCTGGTATGCTATGTCCTCGGCAGCTTCCAGCTTGCGCAGCTCAATCAGGCCATCACCTGCAGTGGCCAGTGAGTTGGCACTCAGCTCAGCTGCCTTAGAGTCACCCTCGGCAGAGATGATGGCGGCTCTCTTTTGCTGTTCAGCCTTTTCCACCACAAATCTGGCCTTCTCTGCTTCCTGCTGAGCCAACTGTTTGGCTTCCACCACTTCTGTGAACTCCTCCCCAAAGGTCAGCTGTGTCAAGGACACATCATTCAGGATGAGCCCAAAGGTTGCTGCTCCCTCTGTAAGGTCATTGCTCACCTGCCTGGAGACCAGCTCTCTCTGGGTGGTCAGTTTGCCAGTATCAAAGCGAGCCACCACTGACTTGAGGATCTCTGTGGTGATGGATGGCAGCACTCGTTCATCATAGTCCTCTCCAATGCTGGTGAAGATTCGAGGAAGCTGACTAGCAGCAGGTTGGAAAAAGATGCGCAGTGTGATGCTGACATTCTGCAAATCTTTGCTACCAGTGATGACTGGCACATTACGTGGTCGAGAGTGGCAATCAAAGATAATTGGTTTCTGAACCCAAGGAATGAGAAAGTGAGTTCCTTCCTCTACCACAATGTCCTGTACACCATGGAATCGGTCAAAGATGACAGCTCTGTGCCCAGCATCCACATTATATAAGGCAGAGTTCATCACGCCTCCTGCAACAGCTAAAGCCAGGCCAAACTTGCCAATGGATTCAAACACTTTGGTAGCCATGTTTCCTTCTGCTGGATCCACTCACACCTGCTTACACTCTGACCTCCACATGAATTCCCCTGGGTTGGCCATCTTTAGCCTATAATAGGACATTACCTTTTCATCAATTTTTTTTATACCCTTTAACAACATCTCACCTTCCCTCACCCCATCTCTTATATCCTGGCAACCACCATTCAACTCTCTGCTTCTGAGTTCAACTGTGTTAGATTCCACATAGGTTAGATCACGCATATGTTTACATACATTTGCTTTATCCACTCATGCATCAGTGGACACTTAGGTCCAGAACTTAGTTATTGTGAATAATTTTGCACTAAACCACATGAGAATGCAGATATAAATGTCTCTTTAACAGTTTATTTCCTTTGGATATATGCCAAGAGTGGGATTGCTGAGTGATACAGTACTTTCATTTTTTGAGAAACTTTTATACGGTTTTCCATATGGTTATACTAACCTACTTTCCCACCAACAGTGTACAATTCTTTCCCTCCACATCTCCTTATTAATACCTCATTGTGGCTTTTATAGTTCCCCAGTTATCAGTCATATTGAGCATTTCTTCATGTATTTGTCTTTTGAAAAATGTCTTTTTAGGTCCTTTGCCTATATTAGAGGAACTTCTAACTATTGAGTTCTGTAAACATTTTTGAATATTAAACCCGTATCAGGTATATGGTTTGCAAATATTTTCTCCCATTCTGCAGTTTCTCTCTTCACTGGTGATTCCCTCCTTTGTTACATAGATGCATTTTAGTTTTCGATGCAGCCACATTTGTCTGTTTTTGCATTTGTCCTGCTTTTAAAGTCATGTCCAAAACAAACAAATCACTGTTCAGACCAAAGTCATATCCCCCCAGCCCCCCAGCCTTCTAATAGTTTTACAGTTTTAACTGTCTTACAATTAATTCTTTAATCAACTTTGAATTGATTTTGGTAGGTGGTATAAGATGAGGGTTCAGCTTCCCTTCTTCTGCATGTGGAGATCCAGTTTTCCCAACACTATTTATTAGAAAAGGGTTCTTTTTCATCCCATGTCTTTGGTTATCTTTGTTGTAAATCAACTGACTGTAGATGCATGGATTTGACCTCTATTCTGTTTCATTGGTGTATATGTCTCTTTTCACGCCTATACCGTACTGTTGTGCATCTTTTACAGTCAGGTAGTAGGCGACCTCCAGCTTTGTTCTTTTTGCTCAAGATTGCTTTGGCTATTTAAGGGGTCTTCCAAGATGACCTCCTTGACTGCTATGCCAGTGAAATGGAGAAGAATTGTTTGGAGAATAACTCGGTTGGCTTTTAACTTGCAATCCTCCTGCCTCAGCCTCCCCAGCTGCTGGGATTACAAGTGTATCACTGCACCTAGCCCTTTCAGTATTTCCTTATTATTAATAATACTCCTCTATATCCTCCCTTTATGGTGATCTTCATCCCAATCTCAGTAGTGTTTCTTCCTCCAAACACCACCTATTTGGTCCACACAGTGGAAGAAAGGAGGACCACATTTGTGCAGGCTATTGCTGCAGCTGAGGAAGACACTGATGCGATTGCATCTGATGACTACACCAAGACTTGGCATGGGCTTAAAGTGATGTCAACAAGGAGGACCTCCTAAAGGTTGTTCTGAGTAACTAATGAAGTTACTGGCAGCAAATGTATAGCTGCTGAAAAAGAACCCCATGAGGAAATTTACAAGGAAGGGTTTAGGAGAAACCTTTTGGGCAGTGGGGTAGGGGTTCAGTGGTGGGAATCAAACACAGATCTCGTGGACACAAGTGTTCTCTGTACACCCAACCCTAGGGGAAACATTTGCAGACCTCAACAAGCTCCTTAAGAGTTTGAAAACACAGACTCCAGCACCAAAAGGTTTCTTCTAATCGAGAGGACTGTTCTTGGTACATTATCTGCTTATAAGGAAATCTGTTAAAAAAAAAAAAAAAAAAAGTAAACCCCTATGGACATTTCTCAAGAGAGACACACCTCAAGATAAACCTCAGGCAGGTCTTTCAGAAGTTAAAAAATGGAAAACAAAAACTTATAAGGTTACAAAAATATTTTTGTACAACTCTACTTTGTTCAAGCTAAATGTTATTATAAGAGTAAAAAAGTTAAAAAATTACTTTGTAAAATGAGAAAGATACTATTATAGGTTGATTTACTATTGGCAAAGAACTTACTTTATCAATTTAGTGTAGCCTGAATGCAGTCTACAGCAGTGTACAGTACCATCCTAGGCTTTCACAGTCACTACCTGACTCACCTGGAGGAGTTCCAGTCCTGCAGACTACATTCATAACAGTACCCCATACAGGTGTACTTTTAATAAGATCTTGCTGTTACCCAAGCTAGTTTCAAAAACTTATGGACCTGAGAGTTTGCCCCACTTAGGTCTTCCCAGTAGCTAGACTTCTCATGTGCATCATCACTCCTGGCTTATATTTCTTTGGGGAGGGTACCAGAGATTGAACTCAGGAGCACTAGACCACTGAGCCACACCCCCAGCCCTATTTTGTATTTTATTTATACAGGGTCTCACTGAGTTGCTTAATGGCTTGCTTTTTGCAGAGGCTGGTTTTCAACCCACAATCTTCCTGCCTCAGCCTCAAGAGCCTCTGGAATTACAAGTGCGTGTGCCAGCACGCCCAGCCTGGCTTATGTTTCCACTGTATCGTTTCTGTTTACCTAGAAAGTTACCAATATAAGTCAGCTATCAACAGTATTCAGTACAGTAACTAAACACTGTAGGCTAGGTTTGTAGTCTAGGTCCTTCAGGCAGAACCAAATAGCCTAGCTGTGTAAGGCCATGCTATCTAGGTATGTTTATACAAAGAAGTCACCTAATGGTTACTTCTTATAACCTATCACCATCATCAAACAACTGTACTGTATACAATTTTCTTATAATCAAAAGTATAAAAAAATAAAAAAAACATTTCATCAACCAACCGTTTCTCCAAATTCCTTTGTTATAATTCCTAACCCCCAATATGATATTTGGAAGTGGGGCCTTTTGTTTTTAGCCATCTGCTATTTTGTTATAGCAGCCTCAGTTAACATCTGTGTATTTTATCTATTCAATTACCTTTACCAGTGTTATTTCTTTTAGGGGGTAACCAGGGATTGAACTCAAGAGGCACTCAACCACTGAGCCTCATCCCCAACCCTATTTTATGTTTTATTTAGAGACAGGGTCTCACAGTTACAGAGGCTGGCTTTGAACTCACCATCCTCCTGCCTCAGCCTCCTGAGCCACTGGGATTACAGGCGTGCACCACCGCACCCAGCACCAGTGCTATTTCTTGTATACTTCATGTTACTATCCAATGTCTTTTTATTTTTGCATTACAATTCTTAATACACCATTATATCATAATTTATCATATCTCTGATTATAAAGTATGTTGACACCAAATTCACATCTTCATACATGTATTTTGTATAGTGATGAGGGTCTTTCATCATCCATGCTATTCCCCTTCTTCCTCCCTTTCCCTCCCACCCCTATTCCCTATCTAGAGATAATCTTCCTCCCTTGCTCTCCCTCCCAACCCCATTGAGTCATACCCATTATATCAGAGAAGACATTCAGCACTTGTTTTTTTGGATTGGTTAACTTCACTTAGCATAATCTTCTCTAATGCCATCCATTCCCCTGCAAATGCCATGATCTTATTCTTTTTTATTTATGAGTAATATTCCATTGTGAATAATGCCACATTGTTTTTTATCAATTTGTCCACTGAAGGACATCTCGGTTGGCTCCACAGTTTAGCTATTTTGAATCGTGCTGCTATAAACATTGATGTGGCTGTGTCCCTGTAATGTTTTTAGGTCCTCTGGGTATAGTCCGAGAAGAGGAATAGCTGGGTCAAATGGTGGTTCCATTCCCAGTTTTCCAAGGAATATCCATACTGCTTTCCAAATTGGCTGTGCCAATTTGCAGTCCCACCAGCAGTGTATGAGTGTACCTCTTCCCCCACATCCTCACCAGCACTTGTCTGTCTTCATAATGGCTGCCATTATCACTGGAGTGAGATGGTATCTTACAGTAGTGTTAATTTGCATTTCTGATTGCTAGAGATGATGAGCATTTTTTTGTATATTTGTTGATTGATTATAAATCCTCTTTGAGAAGTCTCCGTTCAGGTCCTTGGCCCATTTATTGATTGGATTATTTGTTTTAAATGAAGCATGAAAGACTCCCTTTAATATTTCTTATCTCTTCTATGTGATGACTGCTTTTCTCTTACTGCTTCAAAGATTTTTTCCTTTGTGGCTCTATCAGTTTGTGGAGCTTTCTGTTTGTGCAGTTGTTTTTCATCTAACTCATATGTTTCTGACAATGATTTCTTCAAACATACTTCCTGCCCATTTCTCTTTTTGGAATCTACATTCTACAAATTAGTATTACTTGGTAGTGTCCTACAGTCTCTAATGCTAAGACTCATTTGTGTGTGTGTGTGTGTGTGTGTGTATATATATATATTTTTTTTTTTTTCAGACAGGATATTTTCAATTGAGTTGTATTCAAGTTTGTTATTTCTTCTGGTAGTTGAAAAATGCTGCTGAGACCCTCTAGTGAGTTTTTATTTTTTAATCCATATTTCGATTTTATTTTTTCATAATTTTTCTCTTGATATTTACTATTTGGTGACTATTTCTCCCCATTTAGTTTAGACATTGTGCTTTATCTTTTTCCCTTATTTTGGTGTCAAAATTCATGTGTTATAAAGTATTTTTCCCCCACAAAACCCCTAGAAACTGAGCTTTTTGCATTAAATGAGCTGAATCGGATCAACCAAAGACAAGCTCTGAAAGTAAAGCTTTTCAAAAAGTAAAATCAAATAGTGACAACTGATACCAGGTGCGGTAGCACACGCCTGTAATCCCAGCAGCTCGGGAGGCTGAGGCAGGAGGATCATGAGTTCAAAGCCAGCCTAAGCAAAATTGAGGTGCTAAGCAACTCAGTGAGACCCTGTCTCTAAATAAAATACAAAATAGGACTAGGGATGTGGCTCAGTGGTCGAGTGCCCCTGAGTTCAATCGCTGGT